ACACCCATTATGTTTTCTTTCCATTCATTTAATCAACCATTACTTATTTTGTACCTACTATGTGGAAATGACAACTGGGAGAATAAAGCCACGTGTGCCCTATTTCTAACACATCTACTTATAAAATCAGCAACATGAATCCATGACAGCTATGAGTCATGATAGAAAGCCTTCCGCTAGTTACTGGCTAACCTCGGTAATAATGGATGAGTCTGAAACAGATTATATTCTTGATGAGTTAAGAGGAAAGTCAAGAGTCATTACTGTGAAGTGAAGAAGTTTATACATTTCCTTTCTATATTTATCTAGACCTGAATATTGGAACATGTTCCTTCATAAAGCATTCTTTGCTCATTCCAGCTAGAAAACTTCTCTCCTTTTTCAGAGCCATTGTGGTATGCCACCTGTATTCTGCTATGACACTTACCACGTTTTAACTAGTATAGTAAAATTTTGTGTCAGTGGCTTATCTCCCTTGTAACAGAGGTATTTCAAAGCATTATCACAGTACCTTGTATTATACATATTAAGTGCATAGTAAATGTAACATAATAGTAGATATCATCAAATGGTTATCAACATCTTTTGAGTATCTTATTTTCTCATTCTTTTCACATATATCATCCTATATAATAAAGAATATTCAAACTGACCATCAGACCCTCACACAAGATGGCCGAACCCATGTGGTCACAATATGGCCGCCACAAGATGTCCAGCAGTTGGGGGCAACCAGGCTGGCAGGGGAGGGCAGTTGGGGGTGACCAGGCCTGAGGGGAGGGAGAGAAGTTGGGGGTGACCAGGCCAGCAGGGGAAGACAGTTGGGGGAGACCGGGCCAGCTGGGGAGCAGTTAGGCATGGATAAGGCTGGCAGTGGTTAGGAGGTCATCAGGCTGGTAGGCAAAAGTGGTTAGGAGCAATCAGGCAGGCAGGCAGGCAAGCGGTTGGGAGCCAGCAGTCCCAGACTGTGAGAGGAATGTCTGACTGTCTGTTTAGGCCGGATCCCACAGGGATCCCTGATTGGAGAGGGTGCAGGCTGGGCTGAGGGACATCCACCCCACCCCCCAGTGCACGAATTTTATGCACCGGGCCTCTAGTATACTATTATACTTAATCCTCACAATTCTAGAAAGTAGGTATTATCAAACCAGTTCTCAAAGTCAAGAAAGCTGAGGTTTTGAGAGGTTAGTGACTTATTCATGACCACAAAAGAATAAGTAGCAGAGATTTGTTATTAGAACTTCTGTGTCTATTTGGCTCTAAAGCCATTAAACTGTGCTGATATCTTGAGAAAGGAATGCAGTTACTATGGCTCTGCTCTGGCTGGGTTCAGTTAGGGATAATTACAGTGGCGCCTCGCATAAAGAACACCTCGCACAGCGAACGCTGCACACAACGAACTTCATTTCATGATTCATACAACGAACTTCGTTTCACACAACGAAGTCGCCCGAGCTTCCACGACCGCTTTGCCCGAGCTTCCATGACTGCTTCGCCCGAGCTTCCACGATCGCTGCCGATGTATTGCATCCTTCCGCGCAGGCACTGCAGGCAGTCGTTAGTCACTGCGCTTAACTTAAGCACGTATCGCGGCAATCGTTCTTCATTACGAATTAAATCACGCACATATCACGGCAGTCGTCCTTTTAAGTTAAACTCAATATTTTTTTTATATCATGGCTTCTAAAAAAAGCAGGAAGGTGATTTCTGTTGAAATGAAACAGGAAATAATTAGAAGGAGTGAATGTGGGGTAAAACAGTGTGACCTCGTCAAAGAGTTTGGCCTCAGCAAGACCACCATTTTCACCATTTTGACAAATAAGGATGCAATCAAATCAGCCAAAGTAGCCAAAGGAGTATCAAAACTATTTCATGAAAAACATAGGTCTTCAATCCACGAGGAAATGGAGAGGCTATTAGCGATTTGGATTAAGGACAGGCAGGTGAAAGGTGACGTAACAACCCAAGATATTACGTATCTGTCACAAAGCCAAGAGAATTTATGACGATCTAAAGAAAACCGTCCCTGGAAGTAGCAGCAATCAAGATAATGAAGAAGAATTCAAAGCCAGCAGGGGGTGGTTTTTTAGATTTAAGAAAAGGTGTGGAATCCACAGCGTTACTATGCATGGTGAGGCTGGCAGTGCTGACAAGAAAGAAGCAGAAAAGTTCTCTATTAACTTTCAAAAATGTATTAAGGATGAAGGATACTGCCCACAACAAGTGTTCAATGCCGATGAAACGGGTCTTTTCTGGAAAAGAATGCCGAGCAGAACCTTCATTACAAAAGAGGAGAAGAAATTGCCAGGACACAAAGCCATGAAGGACAGACTTACCCTTATGTTTTCGTCTAATGCCAGCGGAGACCTCAAGATCAAACCTCTATTGGTTTATCACTCTGAAAATCCAAGAATTTTCAAGAAAAATAACGTTATTAAGTCCAAACTGCCCGTCCATTGGAAGTCCAATCAAAAAGCCTGGGTGACCCAAGTTATCTTCAATGAATGGATTCTGGAAACCTTTGCTCCTGCCATGAAGAAATTCTTGCTGGAAAAAGAACTGCCGCTCAAAGCCCTTCTGATACTTGACAATGCCCCTTCTCACCCAAAAGACCTAGAGGAAATATTGCAGGAAAATTATCCTTTTATCAAAGTGCAGTATTTGCCACCAAACACCACATCCATTCTTCAGCCAATGGATCAGCAAGTTATTGCGAACTTTAAAAAACTCTACACTAGAGCCCTCTTTAATAAGGTGTTTGAAGAATGCGAGTTTGGTGGAGACAATATGACTGTCCGAAAGTTTTGGAAGGAGAAAAAAATGTGTGTGTTTTTTTTTTTTTTAAATTATGTTTTTAGATGTATCTAAATAAAAATAATAACAAAAAATTTATCTTTTTTATATCATCTTAGCATATTTTATGCTACAGAACGAATTATTTTTTTTAACATGTATTGTTATGGGAAAACACGTTTCACATAACGAACTTTTCGCATAACAAACTTGCTCCTGGAACGAATTAAGTTCGTTGTGTGAGGCACCACTGTATTTTGTTTCTGAAGAACCCTTAGCCTTCTCTTTTCATATTTCTTGGGCTTCAATTATCACCCAAACTAATGACTCTGAAATCTGTAATTGTACCTTACTCCCTTTTCTTTAGTTTCGGACTCATCCTACCACCTACTGTAGGCCTTATCTGGTTATCCTCAGGCATCTTAACTCAGTAAAGACCACAGATTGAAATATTTGCATTATTCTAGATTCCTTTCTCCATCCTCTCATTGGTCACCAAACCCTGTGGCTCTTATCTTCTAATTGTTTCTCAAATATATCATTACCTCCACATTTCCACTGCAGCTGTTCTCAATTCAGTTCTTGGATTACTTTTAATAACCTCCTAAACTGGTCTCACTGCCTATCATCCTCCTCACAGCAGCTTCAAGGCTTTATCTAAACTTTAGATTCTAAAGACACTTGTAATCACAAAATTGCAATCAAATGATTACTTTATAACCTTCATGTAAAGATAGACATTTCTCAACTAATTATGATCTGACTACTACCTCACTCTTCAATTTCATCTCCCCAGCTAAATCCAAAAGCAAATCATTTGACTTGTCACTTAGCACCCTGGTGTTAGATTGCCTTAATGTGAATGCAAACTTGACTTCTTACTAGGTGTGAACTAGCAAAAATTAGTCTAAAGGTGAAGTAATAATAGAACCTACTTCGCAGAGTGGTTGTAAGAATTAAATGAGCTAATACACACAATGAGCTTGTATCTTTTGAAAAAAATATATTTTATTGATTTTTTACAGAGAGGAAGGGAAGAAGAATAGAGAGCTAGAAACATTGATGAGAGAGAAACATCAACCAGCTGCCTCCTGCACGCCCCCTGCCGGGGATGTGCCCACAACCAATGTACATGCCCTTGACTGGACTTGAACCTGGGACCTTTCAGTCCACAGACCAACGCTCTATCCACTGAGTCAAACCAGTCTCGGCTGAGCTTGTATCTTATCTGACACATTACTTGTTGCATATTAGCTACTATTATTATCATCAGCCCTCTCAACCCATTCACTTGCACCGCTGGTTCCTTTGCCTGGAATACCCCTCATCTCTCACCATCTGGCTATTCCTTTCTTCTCTATCAAGATTCAGTTAAGCTCTGGCTGGTTTTCTCAGTGGTTAGAGCGTTGGCCATCAGCTCAAGGGTGGTGGGTTTGATTTCTGGTCAAGGGCAAGGTCCATCCCCAGCCTGGGTTGGGGCGTGTGCAGGAAGCAAGCAATATGTTTTTCTCTCTCTGTGTCCTCCTCCTCTCTTTTTCACACTCTCTCTAAAAAAAAAAAAATAAATAAAAAATCCCAGAATGAGAATTAAAAAATAAAACTCAGTTCAGAGGTCACATCTCCTGGAAAGTTTTCCCTGCCCCATCCTCTTATTATCAGTTGTTCACACCGTTTCCTTTGCAAACGTGTTTGTTCTGTAACTACTGTTTGCGTCTATCACTAAACTGGGAATCCCTAAAAGACGGACAGTCTTTTCTTTTTCTTTTTTTTGACACAACTTAAAACAAATTCATAATTTTTTTTTCTGGATGATTGCACAGAGAGCGCTCAAGTATTATGAGATCCCTAAATGACTGTAGCCATGAACCCCGGGCGGGGGGGGAAAGGGGCTCCTTTTTCATTTTCCCGCCCCTCGAAAAGTCCAGGAGGAAAGGCTCCAATCTCACTAACCGCGGAAGAACACCGGGGTTTTTGAGTCGCACTCGGCACCTGAGCTTGTGACCGCTGCTAGTCTGCGCCTGCGCAGCTCCAGCCAATGAGAGGCTCCTCAGTGGCGTGGGGCCACGGAGCGTGTATTTGGATTGGGCGGTGGGAGCCAAAACAGACGACGCGGAAATGACGTCAAACTGCGCAAGCGCCGGCGGCCCTGCCGCGCGGTGGCTGCTGGGAGCTGCACGCCTTCCCTCCCTATGCCTCCTCCCCCCCAGCCCCCCCCGCTCCCGTTCCCGCCCCCTCGCCGATCGGCTCCTGGCGTGACTCGGCACTGAGCGCCGCGCTAGCCGCTCCGCGATCGCCGCCGCCTCTGTCCAGGCCTCGGCCTTCTGAGCATCCCCCTTCCTCTCCAGGTCCTCTTCTCTTTCCGTTTCGCAGCGGGCGGCGTCGCGGCCTCCCTTCCGGGCTCCGAGAATGGTGGGAGTGAAGCCGGTCGGGAGCGACCCGGATTTCCAGCCGGAGCTGAGCGGCGCCGGCTCCAGGCTCGCCGTGGTCAAGTTCACCATGCGAGGGTGAGGCCGGGCCCGAGCCCCGTGGGCTCTTCCTTCTGTCCGCCGGTGCTTTCCTTTCACCCTTTTCGGGTCCCGACTACCTGGTGGTGTCGTCCTGCTCTGGAATGTCTGGCTCCGACCGCAGCCCCAGGCCGCTGCTCAGTTAGGCCTCAGCTCGTGGGCCTGGGTCCCCATTGGTGCACCGGGGGAGTCGCTAGCGGGCACGGAGGCCAGACTGTCCGCCTTCCCCAGCCCAGGAGATACCCGCCAGCTCATGTTGAATACTCAGATGAGCCCTGCTCCTGAGGTGGCCCGCTACTATTTCTAGCCTGGAGCTTCATACATCCACCTCTGCTCGCGTCTTTGCCTTTCTTTCCAGAGAACCAGCTGTCACTTGCATCTTAGAAACCCTGAAATCTTAATTTACAGAACACCTAGCTACTCTGAGCCACCTCATTTCGCCGTTGGAAGCTTCGTGGGGCCATCCAACTCATCCGCGATAGTTTAAATTAAGTTAATGTTGGGTCAGGGTGCTTTTTAATTTCTTAACGTTTTTTGATACTTGTTTGGTTAGTAGCTTGTAACTTAGGCTTCCCTATGTATGTGATTTCGTGTGTGAACACAAAAATTATAGTAGGGTATATAGGTGTCCAGATGTTTGGGTTTGATCATATAGACTCTTTTTAGTTTTTTAACCCAATGATTTAAGAGGACAGGGATCTTTCTTAAAAAATACATATATTTATTGATTTCAGAGAGGAAGGTAGAAGGAAAGAGAAACATCAATGATGAGAGAGAATCATGGATCGGCTCCTGCACGCCCCTACTGGGGAATGAGCCCTTAACCTAGGCATGTGCCCTGGACTGGAATCGAACCCAGGACACTTCAGTTCGCAGGCTGGCGCTCTATCCACTGAGCCAGACCGGCTAGGGCAAGAACAGGGATCTTGATAAGCTGTTCACTGGCCTTGGTAGCTCTTAACATGATTTATGGGTCGCAGAGCTGGTGGATCTTCCATATTTGTAGGGTGTACAGTGTTCCTGTGTGAGAGGGACTTGTTGGAACTAGGCATCCAGAACCAACTTTTGAGCAAGTGTGTCTATTTACTGAACACCCCTGGTGTATGTCACTGTCTAGTTATAAGGTTTAAAAGTATCATCCCCCTGATATTTACACTTATGCTAACTTGGAGAAATCTGTGGCTATCACTGTTTATGTGGATACATTTGATTGCCCGACTAACTGTATAAACAAAGGCAATATTTTGAATCCCAGAGCAAAAAGTGTTTCACATCTACTGAACATCATTCAATAAATGTTGAGTATAGAAGAAATGACGTTAGGATTAGATAGTTTTAGGGGATGGAAAATTGCAGATAGAGATGAAAACCAATTAGGACTTATTTTTGGACCAGTGTCTCTTATACAGAATTGAAAAGGGGCAGTACGTTGACTTTTATATGGTGGAATAGAATACACATTTGCCATGTGGACTTTGACATTTATCATATTGAAGAGGCGATTTTGTATATAAAGACTTATCTAAGAGGAAGGTCAGAATTCTACAAATGTGCCTTCCCAGATTGAGCAATTTTGTAATGTCTATGCTCTTACTGTGGGGGAATACTTGTACATTTGTTAAGGACCTAAGCCAGCTTTGGAAAAGAGAAAAGATGATTTTATTTACTTTTATTTTTAATGTAGAGATGATTTTATTTACTTTTTATTTTTAATATATTTTTATTGATTTCAGAGAGGGAGATGGAGAGACAAAATCATCAATGATGAGAGCAAATCATTGATTGGTTGCCTCCTGCATGTCCCACATTGGGGATCAAGGGAGCCCGTACCCTGACAGGGAATCAAACTATAACCTCCGGGTTCATAGGTCTACACTCAGCCATGCCAGCCAGGTGGGAAGAGATGATTTTAACAGTGAATCTCATTTTTAGTTCACTTTCCTAAATTCTAGTCAGTGGCAGCACTTATACTTTTATCCCTCAATGATAGAGTCTTTTTTCCTCCACCCCCTTACCATAGCAGAGGGAGAGATGACAGAGCAATAAGTTATTGAAGTAAGAAAAGTAGGGAAATGTTGCTATTAAGGAAACACCTCCTTCAGCAATATATTACCATTTAACCGTAAACATAATTGTAGACATTGATTGGTAAAGCAGTTATTTACTTTTTAAAATAATTTTTTATTTTATTTTTTTACCCTCACCTGAGAATGTTTCCTTTGATTTTATTTTATTTTACTTTATTTTATTTTTATTTTTTTAGAGAGGGAGGAAGGAAGGGAGGGAGGGAGAGGGAGAGGGAGAGAGACAGAGAGAGGGGGAGGAGGAGAGAGAGAGAGAGAGAGAGAGGAAGAGAGAGAGGGAGAGGGAGAGGGAGAGGGAGAGGGAGAGAGGGAGAGAGAAACATCCATTTTAGAGAGATTGGTTGCTTGCAGCACTCGACTGTCACCCACCCTGACCTTAACTGGAAATCAAACCCACAGCCCTTTAGTCCAGGGGTTGAGGTCCTAACCACTGAGAAGCCCAGCGAGGGCTGTTATTTACTTTAAAAAGGTATTTTGATGGGATGAAAATGTGGTTTTCTTTGTAAAAACTGAGAGCAAGTAAAATAGTTGAGTGTAGGTAATTTTTAAATTCAAAAGTATTAGGTAATGTTTACAAATCTGATAACGTCTTTGCCTTTAAAGTTCTTGTAGCATTTTGGCCATTAATACTTTCCTACACCAACTCTATGCCTTTGTGACTCCAGATTTAAATATATTGGCATCAGTACTATATCAAATATCGAACTATATCAAGTTAAGTCATGTAAGAAACTTCTTAAATCAAAGTTAATGTCCCATTTTAGGCCAAGAACATAGTTTCCTGCAACACCTACTTTATTTCCTTTCCAATCCTACTTTAAAACCTTTATTCCTTATTTATCATTCCCATGCTTTAGCTATCCTGTCTATTAATTTTATTAAAACACTATACGGATTGTCATTCTTCCATTGAAGAATCTTCAGTGGCTCTCTAGTTTTTCTCTCTCATTTTTTTATAGATAGTAAAATATATGTAACATAAATTTTACTATTTTAACCATTTTAAGTACACAATTTAGTTGCATTAAGTACATTCACAGTGTACTACCATCACCGCTATCTATTCCCTAGAATTTTTCATCATTTCAGATAAAAACTTTAAACAGTAACTCTCAATCTTCCCTCACCCCCTTGCACACAAACACCTCCAGTCTCTGTTAGCTTCTCTTCTACTTTCTGTAATTGAATTTACCTCTTCTTGGTACTTTATATAAGTGGAATCATAATATTTGTTCTTTTGTTTCTGGCTTATTACTCTTAGCACAATTACTCTTCAGGGAAAGCTCAATTGGACTTGATTTCAGAGTTGACTATTTTATTTGTGGTCCTGCCATCAACTAGAGTGGTTGATCTTGAACAAGTCATTAAATTTTCTGGTCTTCACTTCTCACTTCCTAAATAATTGTGTTCAGTTAGGTCAATTAAAAGTTTTAGTTTTATGGGTTTGCTTCTTAATGAATTGCAGAAAGCCAGTGGGGTTGCCCTCTCTCCCTCCTTCTCCTCTCCCTTTCTAAATAAAAGGCAATGAGGTATTGATGCAAGTATATCTAAATAGTCCAGTGGAAAGGACTGGAAGTCTAAAACCAGGATGATCAGAATTTGTTTTATTTATGTTTTAATTGACACAAGTTCTTCATAGTATAAAGTAGTACAATCTTTGGTGTTACTTTACCAAGCATCTCTTTACCTTTCTCGCAGGTGTGGACCATGTTTAAGGATTGCTCCAGCATTCAGCACTATGAGTAATAAGTATCCACAGGCAGTTTTCTTGGAAGTAGATGTACACCAGTGTCAGGTAAGGGAAAGGAGCACTTTAAAAAAGAATTATTTACACATCTGTTTGAATTTCAACATTAATATCATCCTTTGTTTATCTTTTTGTGTATATATTACTTCTTTGAAGATAAGAAAATGTTATGTTGATAATGATTAATATAAATGCCCATTATGGCTGCAATAGTTAAGAAGGGTAATTCAATTATTAATTGCTTCTGAGTTTGTTTGTATTAGTAGCTTTCTGATATAAAAGCTAGTATTATGTTGTTAAAATAATAGGTCACCTGCCAATTCTGTATTTTTTTACATTTCTTTATTTTTTGCTAGAATTATATCTTCTACTACAGAGGCATTGGCTGATTAGAAAGCTGTAGCAGAAAATTCTTGATTATGCAGGATGTGGCAAAAGTAGGTTTACACTTGTGAGTATGCGAAACAGTTTATTCTTGTATTATTATTTATTGTATTATTTTCCATGCGAACAACTGTAAACCTACCTATTTTTGTTCCACCCTGTAGTTTGATTTGCATTGATCAGTTTGTAATCTTAGCTCCAAAGCTGTATACTTGGCAGAAACTTTAAAATGTTGGTTACCTTTGATTGGACCACAGTTGTAGATAGATTGTCCTGATTAGTTAATTGGAATGGCTGTGTGACTGTTCCGCATTTTCATATGTAGAAATATGGAGGAGTTGCTCCTTCTAGCACTAAAAAATACAGTCTTTAGCTCTAAGGGACAGCACTATAGCTACTCTTTGTGTGTGTGAGGCTTTGTTATATTTCTGAGTGTGGAAAACTTTTAAAATGTTGCATAGTTTGTAGTTAGTAGTTTTGGGATTTGGTTAGTGTAAACCCTATATTAACATTCATTATTTAGTGCCTATGTCACATACTACCAGACTGTAATATTGGCTGTTAGTTTTTATTTTAAATATATTTTTACTTATTTCAGAGAGAAAGGGAGAGGGAGAGAGAGACCGAAATATTAATGATGAGAGAGAATCATGCCTCACACTGGGGATAGAGCCTGCAGCCTGGCATGTGCCCTGCCCAGGAATCGAACCGTGATCTGGTTCATAGGGCAACGCTCACCCACTGAGCTACACTGGCCTGGCTTGGCACTTACTTTAAGTATTTGTCATCTCTGATATGGAAGTGCTTTCTTCTTACTTCTGGAGCTATGCTGTCTTATAGTTACATATTTCACTTATTTCTCTATTCTGTTATCATGGATATTAGAAAACTAGAGGCCCGGCACACTAAATTTGTGCCCAGGTATGGTCGCTACGATCACGGCTATCTTCCCCAGCTGCCCACAGCCGGCCCTGACACACCGGTTCCCCGTTCGCCATCAAGTGATCAGTGCTTGACGGCCAGGGAAAGAGACTGAGAGGTGGTCAGTGCACCTCATTGTGACTGGTCCAGCGGTTCTGTTCATTCTGCCATTAGGGTCAATTTGCATATTATCCTTTTATTTATATAGGATTTTAAATTACATATGCAGCTAACATTCATGGCTTACGTTATATTTCTTTTGGACAGCACTCTTTTAAAAGATCTGTCTTTTATGAGATTTAGATAAGACATCTTTATGGAAATTTTATGCCTTTTCTTTAGATGATATGATGGTACATATTCATAGTATTTGAATATGTAAGATGATACGTGCTTTACTGTTTCCTTTATAATTCTCATTAATCAGTATTTATTAACTAATTTCCATTCACTTGTTAATCTTTTTAAAAAATATATATATTTTATTGATTTTTTTTTTTTAGAGAGGAAGGGAGAGGGATAGAGAGTTAGAAACATTGATGAGAGAAAACATCCATTAGCTGCCTCCTGCACACCTCCTATTGGGGTTGTGCCTGCAACCAAGGTACATGCCCTTGACCGGAATCGAACTGGGACCCTTGAGTTCGCAGGCTGATGCTCTATCCACTGAGCCAAACGAGTTAGGGCTCACTAGTTAATCTTGTAAAAATTGTAGAGTTGGAACAGAATTTGAAAAGATCAGAAGGCATTTCTATACGAGTACAACTGGGTGAGGATTGTTACAGCAGTAACAGCAAAGGATGTTACCTTAGTTTTATGGTCAGATAGGCTACTGTTTTTTCATATGTGTATTTTTTCCTAGCGTCAGTGGTTTGTGCTGACATGTCAATACCCACTTGGGAAACAGTATGTTATCTGGCATTGTAAAGCAGTTTCTATAAATCAGCTAACTTGTTCTACTGTGTGAAGTATAATATTTAATGCTAAAACTGATAAAAATAGAGGGCTGGCCGAAACCAGTTTGGCTCAGTGGATAGAGCGTCGGCCTGCTGACGCAAGGGTCCCAGGTTCGATTCCGGTCAAGGACCCTTGGTTGCGGGCACATCCCTGCTAGGGGTTGTGCAGGAGGCAGCTGGTTGATGTTTCTTCCTAATCGATGTTTCTAGCTCTCTGTCCCTCTCCCTTCCTCTCCAAAAAATATCAATAAAATATACTTTAAAAAAATAGGGCTATTCTTCATTGTGTATGTAAAGCTAATAATATAATGTACTGTGCCCCAATTGGTAATGTAGTTAAGGGAATAGACCTGCTTTTTCTTAAGTAGCTATTAGGAATAAATTATTTTATATATTTGTAGTCCATGATATTTAACTTCCGTACAGATACAGAGTAAATATTCAAAATGATTTAAGATTATTTTTAATTCATAATGCTATCTAACTTGCCACTTCTAGGGAACAGCTGCCACTAACAACATATCAGCAACACCTACGTTTTTGTTTTTTCGAAACAAAGTGAGAATTGATCAATATCAAGGAGCAGATGCCGTGGGACTAGAAGAAAAAATCAAGCAGCACTTAGAAAATGACCCTGGAAGTAATGAGGACACAGATATTCCAAAAGGCTATGTATGTAGACTTACTAATGAAATCATTGACATACCTTCCATTTGCCATTATTGGGTATAAGTAAAATTGACTGTGTTTATCTTTTGCTTGCTTGAAATACTTTCAAATGAGAACTTTAAAAGTAAACTCACTGGCTGACTATTGGGATTTGTCTATAGGTGTGTTATAACCTGTTTTCCATCCTAAACTTTTCCTGAATTTCTCCTGCTAAATTTCTGTGTCACTTAAAAAAAAATCTGCTTTCTGAACTATTTTAATAGCCATTTTAAGACTTAAAAATACATTCGTCCCTCAAAAAATAATATGCTAGTTTATTGATTTTGTTTTAAAACCAAATATGACTTGAGTATTGGGTATGCTTTTTTAATTTTAAGAGTAAACTGTTTTTCTGAATAATAACTTGAAGACTTAAGAGCTTAAAATATATATATATATATATATATATATATATATATATATATATGTATATTTATATATATTTTTTTACCTTAAAAGTATATTGAAAATTAATGAGTAGTTATAATGTAATATCTTGATATTTGAGAGCTATTTAAGAAGTAATTAAAATTCAGAAGTAGCAAATTTAAAGTAGCTGATTTGCGTCTGCAAATCGGTAAATAAAGTTATTGGCAGATCAAAAAATGGCTTTTTTAAAAGTGTTACCTCAAATTAAAGTTAAAATATGAAAGCATATATAGTGAGTACATTAAAGCAGATCTGTATTATGGGACTACAAGTCCTTTATGTAAGAGAATTATAGTCAGGGAAATATGAGAGATTCTCTGTGTGTGTGACGGTGTGGTGGGGTTGTGTCTTTAACATGTTGTACTGACAATTATTTTTAGTTAGGGATGTGCAATTAATATTTATTTTAAATAGAACTGTTATATAATTATTTGAAGTAGTGATATCTGTTTAGAAGTTAGGATTGTGACACCTTTTGGAAAATTTTGAAAATCATTTAACTTGTAAATTGTTATGTTCACATTTTCGTATTTTTTACCTTTTATTACTAAGGGTGTTTACATGAAAATACCTTAAGAGCACAATAGTCCTGCTGCTTAGCTACAGGGATACTTTTTTACACATCAGCTTAGTGTGATATCAGCATTTTGGCCTCAGATAGGAAAATAAGCAGGAAAAATAAAGTTTTAAGAAATAAAACAATTGATTTTCATGTAAATGTTGTGAATATACTGTGAAGAGCTATTAAAATATTTTCTTTTTTTCCCATCTGATATCAATCAAGACATGAAAAGTTTTGAACTATGTACATCTTAATAGGGTTGGTAAATATTTAATATTGGTAACGTGTTCCCCAAAAAAACATTTGTCCCACAACATACATAGAAACTTAATGAAGTAAGAGACATTGAATGAAAACCATCATCTTAAGTAGATCCTATCTAATAAAAGAGTAATATACAAATTGACCATCACTCCAACACATGAGATGGCTGCCCCCATGTGGTCAAAGATCCTGCCCCCATGTGGACACAAGATGGCCAGGAGGGGAGGGCAGTTGGGAGGGACCAGGCCTGCAAGGGAGGGCAGTTGTGGGAGATCAGGCCAGCAGGGAAGGGCAGTTAGGGGTGACCAGGCCTTCAGGGGAGGGCAGTTAGGGGCAAACAGGCTGGCAGGGGAGTGGTTAGGCATCAATCAGGCTGGCAGGGGAGTGGTTAGGGTGTGATCAGACTGGCAGGCAGAAGTAGTTAGGGGCAATCAGGAACGCAGGCAGGCGAGCAGTTGGGAGCCATTAGTCCTGGATTATGAGAGGGATGTTCCACATTGGAGAGGATGCAGGCTGGGCTGAGGAGTACACATCCCCATGCATGAATTTCATGTACTGGGCCTCTAGTTTAAATATAAACATTATTAAAAATGTATTGACAGTTTTAAAATACAATTTTTGGTTTCTTGGAATAAGGACTTTTAGTCATTTTGTTTTAATACTCAGAGGCAATAGCTGTACAATTATTTATCTTATACATGCCATAGTTTCAAAACTCCCAATTTGACTGGAGCCATAATAAGATACATACATGTATCTTTTAGGGCAGTTTGAGATACTGCAAAAGATACTCAAAAGGTTAAGAATCATAACATATTCTTATTCAGAAGTAAGGGTGTTGTGTGAGCATAAGTATTTAATTTTTGTAAATGTTTATTGAAGGAAAAATTTAAAACATATCTTTTTGTCCCATAATTTGCTAAGAGTACATAGTATAGATTCAAATAGCTCCCCTCATGCCTTCTAAATCAAGTCTTTCTTTCCCTAAGTTTGAATGTGAGGCATTCTGGAATTGAACTTGCACATGTTCTGAATCTTGAGGCTTGTTAGTATATTCAAGTATTTTGACCTCAGAACTATTAAGTTTTGGTCTACAAATTTGTCATCATTTATCAAAATCAAAAAAGACATTATGACCCTAATTTGTATAGTTAGTAGATATTTCTTTAATCAAAAACTTGAAGAATGGAAAGATTTTTGTAACTTTCTTTGTATCTCATGTTGGATTTCCCCTCAAAAAAAAAAAAAAAGGAAAAACAAAGTGAAACTTACTAAAAAAACAAAACAGTTGACAGTAATACTACAAACACATATACCCTACCTATATTCATCATTTGAAGATATTTTAAGGATGTTGCTCTAACTTGATATCTTTCTGTATTTAATTTTTGCAAAAGCATTGAAAAGTGAGTTATAAACATGATGGATCATCTCTCAGTATTTTAGTATATAGCTCTGAAGAATAAGGACGTTATTCTGCATAACCATGATACCATTATCACTCCTAAGAAACTTAATATTGCTACAGTATCTAATGTACAGCCTGCATTCAAATTTTCTTAATTATCTTCAAAATATACTTTATAGTTGTTTTCTTTTCCATGCAGGATCAAATCAAGGATCGTGCATTGTATTTAAGTCCTCAGTTCTCTCTAGTATTGTTTAGTCTAGAAACTTCTCTGCCTTTTTTTTCCTTTTGTGACTGCATTTTTTGAAAGTTTAACCAGCACCGGTCTAATTCAGTAGCCACTAGGCACAAGAGGCTATTAAGCATTTGTTACGTGACTAGGGCAACTGAGGAAATGAAAGTTAATTTTATCTACTTTTAATTAATTTAATTTTAAATTGCCACATGTGGCTAATGGCTATCTTATTATACAGCACAGGTCTAGACCATCTGTTTTATAGACTGTCCCACAATCTGGATTTGTCAGTTTTTTTCTTCTGACTCTTTCCTTATTATTGGCAAGTTGTTATACAGACAAGTGATATTTATTTCCCACTGCATATTGTCAGAATATGTCAGTTGGCAGTTACGTCAGATATACAATATAATGTCTATTTGAGATATCCAAAGCACTTTAATGCAACAGTTTGAATGTAATTGTTTTGTGTGCCCCATGATACATAAATCTAAAATCTATTTAAAATAATTAACCTATTTAGTTTATTTTCATCATTAAAGTATTGGAAATATGACTACAATGTTGTCTTCATGCCTGGGATCTTAATCTATCTGAGATGTAGTATTGAAGCTGTACCTCAGTAGGATGGAAGAACTAAGCATTTAAAAGATTTTGTTAAAACACTCTTTTAGCCCTAGCTGGTTTGGCTTAGTGAATAGAGCGTTGGTCTGTGGACTGAAGGGTCCCAGGTTCGATTCCGGTCAAGGGCATGTACCTTGGTTGCCGGCACATCCCAGTAGGGAGTGTATAAGAGGCAGCTGGTTGATGTTTCTCTCTCATCGATGTTTCTAACTCTAGCCCTCACCCTCTCTGTAAAAAATCAATAAAATATATTAAAAAGAAAAAACATCCTTTCAAGGCAAATACTCAAAAATTTAGCATACATCTCCAACACTTTGCTCTATAATGCTTTTTTTTTTACACCCCCCCTTTGAGTTGACTACAATATGTTATACTGTGTAATATATTTAACATTTAATTTAACAGAAAATGACATTTTGGCTTTGAAAACATTTAGGGTACCACAAGAATAATTAGGGTCTATTCTAATGGTTTATTGCCATATGATAATTATTTGACATATAAAAAGTTTCCTTTAGACTTTCAGAACTATTTATACATGCCTTAGTTTCTTTGGATAAAAAATATGTAATACTCTTTGATGGAAAGGTGAACATGTAACTGATAATATTTGATAAGCTTTAAAAATTGTCCTTGTTTAGTAGATGAAATTGATAATTTTATATAAGAATACAGTTTATGAAAGTCTACTTTTCCAAAAGCAGAATGCTTAAATAGACCAGACTCTGCAGAGCAAATAGAGGAAATAGAGAAACTAGTAAAAGAGCTCTGCCAAGATGGCTTCACAGGGGAATTCTACCAAATCTTAAAGGTCAGATAGCCTAGTGTTATACTGCAAGTACTTATTAAAGCCATATAAAAAGAGAGAAACTTTCAAATTTCTTTTGAAGTATGTATGATATTGATCCCAAAATCTGATAGTTTGCACCAAAAGAGAAAGCTGCTGACCAGTTTCAGTTAGGAATATTGTTGTAAGATAATATTAGTAAGCAAAATCCAGCAATCCAGAAGAGAAAAATCATGATTTCATAATATGCAAGAAAGGTACTTGACAAAATTTACTACTTATTTATTATAAAGAATTCATTAAAATCTTAATGGAGAAGTACTGAATCATTCCTACTAAAGTTAGAAACAAGACAAGGATAGCCACTGTCACCACATCTCTTGGCACATAATGTTGGAAATATGGCAATATTAGCTAACAGATATACAGAAATATGTTAAATGACACCACAGGGAAGCAGTAAGCAAACACTCAGAATATTAGAAATGTGTAGGCTAAATGACTATAATAAGATATTTAAGAGACATGTTAACCAAATACAGTCGTACTTTTTTAATCTTTATTCTAAGTCTAGTAATTCTATATAATAAAAGCCTAATATGCAAATTGTCCCCTTGACCGAGAGTTCAGCTGCTTCCCTTGACATGTGCTGACTACCAAGGAGCAGCACAGAACATGGTGTGTGTTGGTGACACACTGCAACCTCTTGCTACTACCTGGGGGTGGAAGTGATGGGGATGAAGGTGTGAGAAAGCCTGGTGCCCACTGAGCTCACTCTCACTCTCCCGGATACCCTTCCCTGGGTTTAGGTACCAGGCACCCATGAGGAGCCCACCCTTCACCGCACAGTGTCTTCTGGGTGAGCTGGGCTGCAGCCACCAGACCACAAGGGCTGGTCGGGCTCCCTATGGGTTCGCACAGGAGCTGGTCTATGAGGCCAGCCAGGAGAGGGCACGCTGCCCACTGGGCGTCCATGCGGCTCCGCTGGGCGGCCCAAAGGCCCACATTGTGCCCTCGCCCTCAGTGTCTGGCTGTGCTTACCACATCTCTCTGTGGGGGTAGGGCCCAGTGACTCAAGGAGAAGGGGGTATGTGGGGGCCCAGAGGCCCAGGTGCTGCCCAGAGCCCAAAGGTCAGCTGGGACCTACCCTTCCACACCAGATTCTTGCACTTCGATCGCTGGCTAGGCCTAGGGACCACACCCGTGCATGAATTTTGTGCACCAGACCTCTAGTACAACTATAAAACATTTGTGAACAATTAAGGAAAAATATTTTTTATCCTTTCACCTTTTTCAGATAATTGAGGATATTTAAACACTTATATTTGATAATTTTTTATTTTTAAAATATATTTTATTGATTTTTTTTTTTTTTTACAGAGGAAGAGAGAGGGAGAGAGAATTAGAAACATCGATGAGAGAGTAATATCCATCAGCTGCCTCTTGCACACCCCCTCCAGGGGACATGCCTGCAACCAGGGTATATGCCCTTGACCGGAATCGAACCAGGGACCCTTTAGTCCGCAGACGACACTATCCACTGAACCAAACCGGTTAGGGCATTGATGATTTTTTAAATAGTATTTTTGTTTTAGTTGTGATAATGATATTGAAGATTTTAAAAAATGAGTTCTTACCACTTAGAAATGCACACTGAAATGTTTATGAGTGAAATGAAAAAAACAAACAAAACAAAAAAACAACAACCAAGATTTACATGAAAATAATCGGGAATAGCTGAGGGCTGGTTGCAGGGTAAAGATGAAATAGGAGTGGGCATAACTTGATGTTTATTGTACCTGGGAGGTGGGTACCTGGAGTACTACTCATCTTTAATGTAACAGGTTTAAAGAGTTCATGACCACAAGAAGAGGGAGGAAGGCTTCAAATTTTACAGATATTTTAATTTGCCTACTTTCCACTATTAAATACCAATATTAAAAAAGTATCAGTCCATATTTTAGAATCTTAGCATTAAAGACTTGATTTCTGATACCTTATTAAGTGGGCTAAACCTAGATTTGGCTTTAATAATTAGAGGTAGATCTCAGTCAGAAATCAAATAGAAGTATTAAAGTTCAACCGCTATTTTATTATTTTTCAAAAATATATTTTTATTGATTTCAGAGAGAAAGGGAGAGGGAGAGAGAGAAATATTAATGATGAAAAATTAAAGTCATTGATCGGCTGCCTCCCCTGCAAGTCCCCAAATGGGGATCAAGCCCTCAACCCGGGCATGTGCCCCTTTACCGGAATCAAATCTGGGACCCTTCAGTCCAACGCTCTATCTGGGACCCTTTAGTCTGTCACTCTATCCACTGAGCCAAACCAGCTAGAGCTAATTACTATTTTAAAAGCGAGAGATATTTTCTCTAAAATTGCCTAGAGGGGATTATATATTTACATTTTTTATTAAGATCTTTAAACCAAATCCAAATGCTTTACCTAAAATGTTGATTTAATTTTTTCAGATGGATTTAATGCCTTTTATTAACAAAGCTGGGTGTGAATGTCTTAATGAAAGTGATGAGCATGGATTTGACAACTGTTTACGAAAAGACATGACCTTCTTGGAGTCTGATTGTGATGAACAGGTAATTTTATGTCTGAGTTAAGGCATAGAGATTATCAATATTTATGGCTGCTCTTGTTTCCATCTCATGGTTTTATGTCTCTCTCAGTTGACCACTGTTCCTTTCCTTTTTAAAACTTGGATTTTCTTTGACCCCTGCCCCTTGACCAATGCAGACCCATCTCTTTTTTCTCTCTGTGTGAGCTGCCAAGTGTACTAGGGAGAATCGTGGAACTCTTGGGTTGGCTCCACTGCTGAGTTGAACCTTCACCACTCTTTAGTCCTTTGGTTCATCCTTACCTGACTTGCATTCATTTTATTCACAAAAAATGAGCATTCCCCGTAAGTCTAATCCTCACTCCCAGAAGTAAGCCTATGTTGTACTTCCCGGCATTGTTGTCCCAGAGGATGGCCTTGATCAGCCATCTTTCTTCTTGACTGTTACTTTCCTTAATTTACTTTCTGTTCTACTGACTGCTCTGTCCCCATTCCAGTTCATCTACATGTTCACTAAAGCTATTTCTTTCTCAATATAAATCTAGTCATGCTTCTTACAAATTAAATGATCCTTCTTTGGCTTAGAGTGTCAAATTCGTGCCAACTTGATGTTTCTGGCTTTTACTCTCATCTCCTTTCACCCGTGGTTCAGGTTCCTAAACATGTCGTGCTTATTATTATTATTTTTAAAAATGTTTATGTATTTTTTACAGAGAGGAAGAGAGCGAGATAGAGAGTTAGAAACATCGATGAGAGAGAAACATCGATGAGCTGCCACTTGCACCCCCCCCCACTGGGGATGTGCCCGAAACCAAGGTGCATGCCCTTGACCGGAATCAAACCTGGGACCTTTCAGTCCGCAGGCTGATGCTCTATCCACTGAGCCAAACTGGTTTCAGCATGCTTATTATTTTTTGACACACTATTAGAGATCAAGTATAAATGTACTTAATTAACTAAAGAATATAGTCTAGGTATTTTCTTAGGCAGACATACACTAATGATTCTAAAACCATAAATCTAACCCCCATTTTCTATGCTCCAACCAGATCTACCTTAACATATAACTTTGAGAAAATTGTTCACTCTGTGTTTCTTGTAAATTGTGCTGTGAATATAATTTGATGGTACTTATCAGCAGGCCTGGCTACAACTTTCCTAAAATTTTCCTGCCAGGTAGAAGCATAGGCACCTACATCAGACTCAATTTTGGCTGAGAAGAAGATAAAGCGATTGAATTCAAGTTTCTGAGAGACAGACATTGCGACAGCATTTTGTATGGGTTTGGAGACAACTGTAGAGCTATAGGAATCCTCTTCTCTGGAGTTTTTATTTTATTTATTTATTTATTTTTAAAAATATATTTTATTGATTTTTAACAGAGAGAAAGGGAGAGAGATAGAGAGCTAGAAACATCGATGAGAGAGAAACATCGACCAGCTGCCTCTTGCACACCCCTTACCGGGGATGTGCCCGCAACCAAGGTACACGCCCCTGACTGGAATCGAACCTGGGACCTTTCAGTCTGCAGACCGACGCTCTACCACCGAGCCAAACCGGCTTCGGCTGGAGGTTTTATTTTTTTAAAATGTCTTTTTTTTTTTTTTTACATATGTAATATATCTTATTGATTTTTTTTTACAGAGAGGGAGAGGGATAGAGAGTGAGAAACATCGATCAGCCGCCTCCTGCACACCCCCTACTGGGGATGTGCCCGCAACCAAGGTACATACCCTTGACCGGAATTGAACACGGCACCCTTCAGTCCACAGGCCGACACTCTATCCACAGAGCCAAACCGGTTTCGGCTTCTCTGGAGCTTTAGATCAAGTAGAGTCCATTTGAGGGTTAGTCTTTCCACATAACACTCCTGTGCATTGTCTCCAAATTGTCAACATAGGTAGGTGCTTGACAAATAAACCATCCTGGAAAACGATAAGCTTATATGTTAGCATAAATAGTATAAATTTTAATTTAATTGGGGAATTTTGTTTTGAGTTTTTAGAAAGATTACTTGCCAGTTTATAGGTCACAAGACCTTATGTTCTTATGCATAATTTAGTTAACTAGGAGCCCAGAGTGCGATTCGAAATCCCGTGGCACTGCCCTGCCTCGCTACCTGGGCCCTGCAGCTGCCGTCTGGCCCTGTCTCTCTGTCTGGCCCTCTGCTGATCAGGCCCTCCCCCAGCGCAGGCACTTGGAGGCCTCTGCCACCTCGCCCCCGAAGCTGCGCATGCAACCTCCTCCTGAACAGTCCACCTGTCATGGTCCTGACTAATTAGCATATTTCTCCCTCTCTGACTCCCTCCCTTCCCCCCTCCCTCTTTCTCTCTCTCTCTCTCTCTCTCTCTCTCTCTCTCTCTCTCTCTATATATATATATATATATATATATATATATGTGTGTGTGTGTGTGTGTGTGATTATTCCATTAAACTTGTCATTCTCTTATATGAATAATAGATAATTGTATTTTTCAGATATCAGTCTAATCAAGTTACTTTCAATTTACTGACTTTACCTATTACATTAGGGTTATTAGATAAATTTAAAAATTTTTGCCTCTGAATTAGCTGTTGTGTGTGTTCAAGGTGTTTCAGGAGCCCTTTGAAAGTTAAACAATTATTTTCTTCACAGCTCCTTATTACTGTGGCATTTAATCAACCTGTGAAGCTTTATTCAATGAAATTTCAAGGGCCAGATAATGGTAAGTAATGGACAGTTTTTCTCTAAAATGACGTTCTGATCTATAGACCCGTTAGAAGGTCTACCTTTACTTTTTTAGTAAATGTAGATATTCCTTGTTTGGGGGAAAGAATGAAATTGTTTTTGGAACAAAGCAAGGATATAAATGGGCAGATAATGTGAGATTTATTTCTAAAAATTTTAATTTAAGTTTCCTCTTTATCTGAAAGCAAGTGAACCCTACCAACTATGACTCTAAAACTCTAGGTTTGAAGCAGTCATTAACGATCAAAATTGGATATAATTTATTGATAAAACTAAGATTCAAGATTGTCCTATTTGTACCCTATTAATAGAGTCATATTATTTATAGATATGATGCTGTAAATATGATTGCACAGACTAGGCATTTCTATTTGTATTAAATTAAGAACTTTCCTTATTTACTCTTCCCACCCTTCTTTCCTCCTTTTCCTGTGTCTGTGGAAGTTTTGTTGTTGGGGTGAGCTGGAGGAGGGGGAGGGAGGAGAGAGTAGATTTCATTTTTATTAATGCACCTGAGTCTTTATTCTGAAAATCCAAAGTATTTGTAAAAGCAAATGCTGTAGAAATGAGTATTTAAGCAATGTTAATATTTTAAGATTCTTTAATCAGCTAGAAAATATGGTTTAAATTGTACCTTGAAGTTAAAGGGACTAAGACACTCTATGAATGTGATTGTACCACTGAGCACATCCTAATTCTCAAGATGAAATTTGGCAATTTATATAATTACTCCTTTTGACTAATTGTGTCACTAAAGCTTTCCTCTTAACAAAACGTACCAATTGTTGGCAACTAAGACCCGATCAAATGTTCTTTCTTTTATGAGACTTGTTAACCTGCATATACTGTCTGACTCCATTGCTACTTTCCCTATATTTTCTCACTAGTAGTATTATATTTACCTAGTACATCTTTTGTATTAATAGTTGAGGGCAAGAACTGAGTGTATGTGGGTGGAGAGATATATATATATATCTTTTGATTTAGAATTCCTAGAGTATAGTGCTAGCAGGCCAAGAAATGGCTATGAAAATAGTCTGACTTTCTTAGAATTCCAAAAGATGTATGTAGATATGTGCACATGTTTGTTTATGTGTCTTTATAGTATGGATGTAATAATAAAGGGAAGAAAATATATGTTTAATTTTTAGCATTTTGTTCTTCCATTTTATAGGTCAAGGTCCTAAATATGTAAAAATTTTTATCAATCTACCCCGATCTATGGATTTTGAAGAAGCAGAAAGAAGTGAACCAACTCAAGCTCTGGAACTAACAGAGGATGATATTAAAGAGGATAGTATTGTCCCACTTCGCTATGTTAAGTTTCAGAATGTTAACAGTGTAACTGTAAGTAGTATTTCATTAAGATATGATTCTTTACGTAGTTATTTGTTTACTTGGTTTGAAGTGAGTAAAAATTAGCTAATTAAATTTAAAAAAATATATATTTTTATTGATTTCAGAGAGGAAGGGGGAGAGAGATAGAAACATCAATGATGTGAGAGGATCATTGGTCGGGTTCCTCCTGCACGCCCCTCACAGGGAATTGAGCCCACAACCTAGCCATGTACCCTTGACTGGAATTGAACCTGGGACCCTTCAGTCCACTGAGCTTTATCCACTGAGCCAAACTGGCCAAGGCTTAAATTTTCTTAATTTATCTGTGTGTCCTAAGGGAAGGACAGGTTGATATTTTTAAACTTTGTGGATCGTCAGTTTACTTATCTGATACATATTTAGCAACTGTTATTAAATGTTTATTCTATAACATTTATATTTAATTAAGTACATTTGTGCCTTATTATTCATACCTGGTAATGAGTGATGCATTTGTAAAATGTAGTGTACTTTTCTAAAACATTGACTTATTAGTAATGTAGTGATCATGATCTCAGCAAAAGTGACTTTAATAATATAATTTTTATGTTAATTTGTATTGAAAAAGTATGCTGTTAGCAGTTATTAACTCCATTGTGAATTTGGATATTAAAACCCAGCACATGCTCTCCACCCCAGCTCTGTCCTTCAGAGGAGAGGACGGAGGGTTAGAGTAGAATAGAATAATTAGAAAAAGAAGTGGGAATCAGCACAGTCACTGAGAACAGGTCATGCCAAACTAATGTGATTTCTTTGTTTTAGTGGAACAATTCTTGTTTTGGAAAGTTAGAAGAATGCTGTAACGTGTTCATGATAACACCTTTTGCTTTATGTTGATGAGAGGAAGGCAGCTATTTATTGGGAAAGCCCTTTCAACGCAGAGATCCTGATGCTTTCTCCTCTGTCATTAGAATCATGAACACAGTTACCTTGTGATGGGCTCAAGTCTTTATGTACTGTGTCCTATCTCAATCAGAATTTCAGTTGACACAGAAAGAATGTCTGTCACTTTTTTTGATAAAGTTGAAATTGAAATGACAGTTTTTATCAGAAAGTCTAATCAAAGTCAGTGGATGAATTTTAAAACCAGTAAATATAAAAACATTTGTGCTTAGATTCAAAGAGCATTATAAATAAATAAATGGAGAGCTGCTTTAATAGTCTACTAATTATAGACTTGGCTCTTTTCATTGATCAGCTCAGTTTGATATGAAAATGTAGTTGCCTATACAAACAACAAAGCCTGACTGATGATTTCCAATACAGTTTTTTTCTTATAATAGTCTAGAAAATTGGAATGAATGAATATCAGAAAGACTAACTGCAGAAATATTCCTCAGTGAACTATAATTTTTTATAAAATTTCAACAGCACTTTGCCACTTGTAATTGTGAATTTCATAATCTTTCAGCATTCATTATGAAGGCTTTAATTTTGACCTCTCCATGCCATCACACTAAATTATCAAGAACTTACATATGTGGGTGACTTGCCAGGACATTCCTGGAATAGATGAGAATAGCAGGGCAAATAGCAGAATTAATGGTGCTGTAGGAGTACTAGTCTAATGTAATTTGGGTTAAAGAGTGGAAGAGTGGAAGGTAAGTTTGTTAGTAATCTAAGGAAATTGATGAAACAGGCATTTTTATGAAAGAAAGGATTGCAGGCATTACTGTAAAAAATATTTTTACTTTTTTTTGGTAGATATTTGTTCAGTCCAATCAAGGTGAAGAAGAAACAACAAGAATTTCATATTTTACTTTCATTGGTACTCCAGTCCAGGCAACAAATATGAATGACTTCAAACGAGTAAGTTTGTTGAAATGGTATTTAGGGGAAGTAAAAATACAATGTTAAAGAACTGCCACCAAGAGTTTTATCAGTACAGAACACGGGTGCTGTACACAGATTAAATGTGCAGCAGCATAGGAGATGTAGTTATTGTCATATTCCTGGTGGTTGCATCTGGCAGGCAGTCTAGAACTTGAGATGATTATAAAAGAGGAAGAGTTTTTCTAGAGTTGCCAATGCTTAGAGGAAGAGGCATCCAGCCTAATAGTTTGACCCCTGTTTTGGGGGCATTGGAGCGGTAGAACATCCTGAAAACTTTTATTCTTATTTTTTTATGGTATCCACAGATCTAATTTTAATTCATTTACAGAAATTTTCATAAAATGGCATAATGTTGGATGCCATTATAAAATGTTAGCTGTTTTTACAAAATTTATAACTTTGACAATAGATAGTTTAACCGGTCATTTTACAAGTATAATCTTCCTGTCTCACGATATAATTAATTTTTGGGAGCTGTATGAACAATCATGTACTTAGATCTGTCATATTAAACGTTTGGCATGTATAATGGCAGGTCAGAAGAAGCAGAGATTAAACATCTACATATTTATGATGTGAAGTGTGCTATATTGGGAGAATGTGTGAGCATCAAAGACATTTTGGCTGCCTGCTTGGTTACTTTGCCTGTTTGAATTAAATGCTATTTAACTGTTTCTTACATAGTTAGTTTTTAGATTAATATTTTCATAAGATCTATTACTCAGTCTTCTTATTTTCCCTTACTATTAATTTAGCTATGGTTTCCTGCTTCTCACCTTAGCTTATGCTATTGGAGTTTGTTTTTTTCTGTCAATTGGAGTTTGTTTTTTTCTCTCAGTAACCTCTACTTTATCTATCTTCTTATTAGCCTGCCATTGATTAGCTTTTCTAATGTGCGTTATCAATTGTCCACTAAGAATCTGTCTCTACCTCTTTGTTTTTAACATCCTCTTTCCACCTCATTTAAATTAGTTTTTCTGTTTTTGACTACCAGACTACTTTTTGTAGTAAAAACGGTGAGTATTTGTGTTTGTTTTATAATTTGGCTATGTGTTCATTTAACTAAACAACTTTTTACCTTATTTAAAATTATTATTGAGAAGTAATTCTCAAACTTTTTGGACTCAAGGACCCTTTTACACTATTAAATATTTTTGAGGATCAATAAGACTTTTTGCTTCTGAGTGCTATACTTATCTAATAGTTACCATTTAAGAAATTAAAACTGAGAAATTTAAAAAAATATTTATTTACAAATAATAAATTCATTGTATATTAGCACAAATAATATTTTTAAATTGAAGTATGTAATTTCCAAAACAAAAACTAGCTTAGAGGAAGAGTATTGTTTTCACTTTTATAAATTTCTTAACTTTTAGCTTGGTAGAATTCTCTCATCTGTTTCTGCATTCACTCACTTTTGCTATCACAGGTTATGTAGCCTCTTGGGAACTCCATTGTACACTTGTGAAAAAAATGAGAGTTAAAAATGCAGATACCAATCTAGCAATGAAAATGGTTTTTAGCTTGAAGACTTCCTGAGAGGGTCTTAGGAACCTCCAGCCTGGACCACTCTGAGAACTGCTGTTAGAATAATTTATTACTATAATGAATGGACTCCCTTCTTGGTGTTCTGGAACTTCTTTTGCCCTGGCCTTTAATGCTTAATACATTTTAATTGATTGAATGATTTTCTTACATATATTAATATTACATTACTTTTCCTTTTAATAATTTCTGAGTGAGATTTGTTTTGCTTGTGTAGTTATTGTTCTGTAGGGTTATTTCTCAAAAGTAAGCTAATTTCATTTCTTCAAAAATATAATATGGTAAATCAACAACTTCAGTGTAAGAAAATTATAATAGAATTAATGTCTGTAACTGAAATTGGCCAGTTTGGTTCTTGTATAGAGTTGCCTATTAAAAATTATTTTGGTTTCTAGTGTGAGAGATAATTGACATGTGGTATGATATTTGTTGTTTTTGTAGTACTGTGCTAGGTACTGTCATGATCCCTGTCTAGAGCAAATTTACATAACACCTGGAAAGTCAATCAAGCGATTCAAAGCTTAGCTCAAGGCTCTCTTCTCCGAGTATCTTTAGATTTCACAATGGTTGCTGGAAGAGGATGAGAGTATTTTGTGAAGGAAGAGGGCCTTGAATAAACTTTAGTATTAGAAATGGATGGAGAAGAAAACAACAGTGGGCACTATGGGTAGAAGGAAAAATAGGAGCTTGGCATCAAAGTGGGAAGAAGCAGGATTCATTCTAGGACCTTTATTCTCTTATTTAGTCAGTCTGGATTTTAAAGGTATTATGCATAATAATTAGAATTTAAAATTTTAAAATAGATCTGGTACATATTTTAACAGCACAGAGAAGAAAATTTTGATACCTCTGTGTAGGAAAGTGATATAAAATGCTTTAGTGCATGATAAAATAAAATTATTTAGCATTTTCAGTTTACATTTTTATGTTGTATGAGTTGTTCCTAGATAATTTTAGTTTTCAGAATGTCATTGACCTCCCTATGGTCAGTCACTAAGATGACAGAAGCTAAGAATGCTAATGAACCTTAGATGTGGGTAGAAATCTTAGACCACCTTGCATGCTGTTACACCTAAATGAGGTTATACCTTTAAGATTTGGTAGACTTGAATACACCTTCCATTTATCTGTTTTTGACTCTTCTAGGCATTGTGCACAGATTATAACACTTATGTTGTTTAGTGTTGTAAATGGATTCTGCATGTTGCAGCATGAAAAGCTTGCCATCCTAATTGGAAGTAGATGTTTTATTTGCTAAAATACGCTCTTTATACCGATTGCTTTATTTTAATACAAAAGTAATAAGACATAAGTACAGAAATGAGCAAAATTGAAGGGGCTTGTGCTTCTTAGGGAATGAGGTGCATGCAAAAAGCAGAGCAGGTTTTCTATCCCCGTTATAAAAATAGATTTTTCTAAACTGGCCATTCACCATATCAGCTATTTTTGTAACTTTTCTGTCTGTTTATTTTTCAGCTTTTTTAATCCAACTCAAATGAACTAAAACCAGAAGATTTTTAAAAAATGAATATAAAGATTGACCTTATCTCACTTCACTCCCCTCCTTGCTTCTCTGCTCATCTTGCACCTGTCTGCTCTCACCCTTCCCATGTTCTCATCATTGTTGGTGCAGGATGTCTACAGCTTCTGTCATCTGGATCAGCCTTACTGTTACCTAGATTTCCTCAGCTATCTTGTTCCTCAAATCTCATTCTAGTTATTTTTCTCCACTGCCTTTTCATTTTGTTTTGGTTTTGGTTTTGGGCTTGCAACTAGGTTCTTCCATTTTATTACCATACTGTATTGTTCTCCTGAATTTCTGTTGTTGTTTTCCATTCTCCCATCTCATATTTAATTTTGTACTATCTTTGTGAAATAATATTGCAATAAAATATACATTGTTGTAGTTTCAAATTTAACTACTTGTTGGATACTGTTTTAATCCAATCTGAAGTTTAAATTTATTTTTTAGGAACTATGAAATCATTTTGGGAACCAAATATAAATAGTTTCATTAAGTTCTTTTATATGAGCACTAGTGCAATATATTGATTAGGCTGTAGTTAAGAGATGTGGGTTTCTTCTTTTTTTTCTCATTGGAACTGTGGCCCAGAAGTCATTTTGCTTATTAGTTGCCTGCCCAAGCAAACTCAAGGCCAGTTGAAAGACTTATGGACTAAATATTAGGCTGGTTTAAATATTAATATGGAAGAAACCTGGACTCTTTACTGAATAAGTACTATGGATACCTAATTTTGATGTACCTAGACTTTTGTTTCTGTGTTGTTAATATAAAGACTGAAAAAGAAATAAAAGAGCTTTACATTTGGGTAAGAAAATCCATATTGGAATGTTACATTTCTTTTTTTTTGCAGAGAATACACATTGGCAAGTTGAGAGCTATCAACCTGTGAAACAGTATGCAGATTTGTGTGTTCCGTATCACATCTGCTAAAATGTTAATTTTTAATATTCTTTTTGCTTTTTTGCTTAATCTAATAGCTCTGTTGTGTTTGTTCCCAAGTGATAACAGTGATCAATAATGCTTTCAGTGTCTCTGCTTAATTCATTTGTGATACAAATAGTTCCATCACCTCCTCTTTTTTAAGAAGTCTGCTCTTGGCTCTTTTTTAAAAAAATATATATTTTATTGTTTTTTTACAGAGAGGAAGGGACGGGGATAGAGAGCTAGAAACATCGATGAGAGAAAAACATCAATCAGCTGCCTCTTGCACACCCCCTACTGAGGATGTGCCCGCAACCAATGTACATGCCCTTTGACCGGAATCCAACCGGGACCTTTCAGTCCACAGACAGACGCTCTATCCACTAAGCCAAACCGGTTTTGGCATCCTCTAGGCTTTTAAACCTGAATTCCTTACTCCCATCTGCATATTCTTTTCTGAAACTATCTCTTTAGCATCTGTCTGGCTTTTTGGACTTGCTAACACATTGTTTCCTTGGATCAGAGAGGAATTCCTTTCAAGTGATAAAAGTGATTTTACTTGAGGTGGGGAAAACAGCAGTTTAGCATTAAGTGGTTGGATATTCAGTGGAAGGGGTTTTATAGTCTTCTCTCATGAAAGACATCGACCCAGCCATGTTTTATTTTTAGACCGGACATGTACTGAAGAACTTTTTGAGTTTTCCTTGATTCAGATACTGCCATTTGGAAGAGAGTCAAATTAAATATGGAATTTACTTTTACAAATGTATATAGAAATATTTTGTATAAAAATACATATTTAATAGCTTGCAAATAGATTTCTTAAGTTATTTCTACTATAAGAATACATTAATGATAAACTTTAGATTTGAAGTATATTATTCAAGTAGAACATAGTTTTAGAATTTCCCCACAGAAAATTTGTTTTCATGAACTGTTGGTAGTTATAAGAAAAGACAAAACAAAACAAAAACTACAAAGAAAACAAATAGAGCAGTTGGTAGAAAACAAGTTTATTATTTATATTTTTATGCTGCCACATTTATAATAAGTAGGACATTTAAACACCTCTCTAAATAGACAATTTTTCTAATCATTGCTAGAAACAAGATTTATTCTATACATTTAAATATATAAATATATATTTATATTTTATTGATTTCAGAGAGGGGGAGAGAGAGAGAGACAGAAACATCAATGATGAGAGAGAATCATTGATCGGCTGCCTCCTGCACATCCCTTACTGGAGATCACGCTTGCAACTCGGGCATATACCCTGATTGGGAATCAGACTCAACTTCCTGGGTCATACGTTTGACGATCAACCACTGAGACACACCAACCAAGCTATTCTTTACATTTTTTATAGTACATTTAGAGCCGCCAGGGTTTCTTTTTTTCTTGCCACCAGGTTGTCTGAAAAATAGAAACTAGGCAAAATTAGTCATTTTTAGTATTTTATTATATGTCTACATATTGAGAGAAATGTCTAGAAATCTGTTAATCTTGGAAGTGAAGACAAGCCTAGCGTACTCTTCAAATTCTAGATTATTTATGTTTGATTTCTAATTGTCTAAAAATAGTATGCCAAATATGTTTCACTCATATAGCATTCTTTTCATTTATTAACTTCTCTAAACTGTCAACCTTGTTTTGAAAAATTGCATTACATTTTCTTAAAATGGTGTTGGAAACCAAAAATAGCCTGCATGTGGTTTATTTTTAATTCCTTGAGGCTGGAAGGGAAGGAGAGTCACAGTGTGTTTCAAGAATAGAAATATACTGCATGCCAAAAAAACAAAAAAAAAGCAGGGATAAAAATTAATACCCGGTTTTAGAAATGATTACCAGTTAATATTGTTTTTTAATATTATTTTGAAAATAACCCACAATTCTAAATAAAATGTACATATAAAGTTATTTTTATTTTTCTAGGTAGTTGGCAAAAAAGGAGAAAGTCACTAAGATACAAAAGACACGGGAAGACCACATTGCAATCAGACCTACAGCTCCTGGATGACTGCTTGATTCTCGCCAGACTGTCACTATTCCATTCATTGGCATTACCAATAAATCATTGCTTTTGTTCCGATGATATCACTAGTGTTTCTATTGTAATCTTGATACATGCAATTGTAAATAAAAGTCACTACTTTTGCCAAGCTTAATTTTTGTCATTCTAAATAAGTATTTTCACTTTCTACTTATTTGAAAATTGGCTGACTTTGGATTTTAGAAGAGACTTAAGTGTCAAGTAGCATATTGAGCTAAAGCCAGTTTCTCCTTTTAAAGGAGCACAACTGTTTTGGGAAATTAAGTATGTGTGCCCTCATGTATAGACATACATAGCAAGTGATTTTGATAAATGCACTTGAAACAGCTAACCATGTTCAAATGAGTAAAAACTCGTATTTATTAAACTACATTTGGGTATTTGGGTTATAGAAATTATTCAAATTATAAAACACCAGAAATAAAACAAGTTTAATGAGATTTTACTTTTCTCACCTAAAAGTTTTAGTTAATAAAACCTCACATTTTAACCCTTCCTGGGTAAGCTTTTTCTTTACTAATAGAGGTATGTTGTAATTTGGCAATAGGGGAAATAATTCAGAATTCATGAAACAATGTGAATTAATATCTTCTAGTCAAGTATTTTAACTACCAAAAGATACAGTGCAAATATTCAGAAAACTTGGTTTAAGGTTGAAAATGAGTTTGCCAAAGTTATACGTTTAAAAGGTCTTTCACAAAAGGCTGGCAAAACAAAACATCTGTTCCTTATTACTTTTTAAAACCTTAAAAGTATAAAGTATTGGTAAATCTAATTTTTCAATTCCTCTATTTTTAAAATTAAAATAATATTTAATTTTTCTATTTAAAAAGTTCAGTGTTTGAAGAGTACCGAAGACTAATAGTTTTTAAAAGATTTTTGTTTTTAGTGATTTCAGAGAGAGGAAGGGAGAGAGAGAATGATAGAAACATGGTTGATGAGAGAGATGCTTATCAGTTGTCTCTGTACACCACATACTGGGGAATGAGCCTGCAAGGTACATGCCTTGACTGAGACCGAACCAGCCACCTCTCAGTGCATGGGCTGATGCTGAATCACTGAGCCACACTAATAGTTTTAATTCAATTAAATAGTACATTTGCAAACATTTTTGTCTAGGAATATCGTAGAGATACCATTTTCATCTTTGTGAGACCAATGAGTTATACATGTTTCTGAAAAGAAGTATCAGTTTTTGTGTTAAAATAGTCACTTTCTGAAACTCCAGAGCCATAAGATAATGTTTAGTTCCTTCTAGTGTAAGCACATTAACTGGTCTGGTAATGTCTATACTACTATCTATGTATTTCATTTTTGCCTTGGGTCAAATGAAGGCAGAAGGGCAAGAAATAAAAGTTTATAACACTCCTTAATATAGACTATCTCAGATTAATCATCTGAAATTAAGGGTTAGATTAATCTTGAGATTTGTTCTACCCTTTGTACATTTCATCTGTTTGAATAATTGTTAAAGTGCCTATCTGAAATATTGCTGACCTCTATACTTGCCAATTTGAAAACCCAATGAAAGTAATTTCATATTTGTAAAGGATTGGGCATCAGATTTATATTGTTTATGTGACTTCTATAACTCAATTGGTTGCATTATACAACCATTCCATAATTCAAATTGTAAACAGGGAAAAATGAATGTTTATAGGTAACTAACATGTTTCACTATGGGAAGTTTTACAAATAAACATGCATAGTTGACGTGATTTAAATTACCAAGCTGAAATGCTGATGTTTTCTCCTAAAATATTGTAGTATGTGTGTATATATACACACACAACATAGATACAACATATATTGCATTGAATTTTCCAGATGAATAAGAGCATTTGAAAAATGTAACCTAGTTATTTTAACTAAAGCTATCCATTAGATGTTTTATAGAAAACTAATAGAGTTATTGTTTTGTTAGACTTGGGCAAAAAAATTCTCAAAACTTTTTCCTTGATTTTGCATATTTTGTTATTTCACATCAGGATGCATTATCTGATAATGAAGCAATAATGAAATATCCTGTCCATAATAGAAAAAGAACTATTTCCATACAGCGTTTTTGCCAGCAAAAAGCAGAGGGCAAGAGTAGCACACAGACTGCCACACTCTCATGCCCTTGCGAGGCCTTTAGGATTCATTTTGCCCAAATGGTCCCCAGGGTCATAGAGGTAGCCACTTAATTTGTTGGAGTTGACATGTGACTTGAAACCTATCTGCTATCTTCGTCTCAACACTTGAGGATGTATACTAATACTTTGCAGCATTTATAAGTATGCTGTGATTGTACACCTCAGCATTTTATGTATGGCTGCCTTTAATACACTGGATGGGCTTTTTACCTAAAAAAAATTAGTTCTCCCCATGTTCTTCTTAATGTCAAATCTTAATACTGGAGAAAAAATAAAACATTGGAGCTTATAAAATTAGTCAACTTACACCCTATTGGTTGAAGGGGGGACTTAGCAGACAATGATTTTGAAACCCCTCTGGCAAAGAAATGTAGAGGCTTTCTGTGGTCTACCATTGAACAGTTTGACAGACTATTAACAAGGCATGGGAACCTTCCATAAGAGAATATGAAACACTACTTTGAAGTTGTCATAAAAGGCTATAGTCTTTCCTTATAATGATAATCAGTGCTTTTCCCCCTGTATTTTGTTGGTAATTATAAATTTTGTTCCATCTGTCAGTCTAGGAAATTCTTTCATTAACTGCTTTTATTCTCTTAAAAGTTGTTGATTTCACAATGATGATTCCTCTATCCGAGTCCTTGCTGGGGCATTAGGTTCCTTGGTAATATGATTTCTAATTTTGTAGGGGAGGACTGAATACGTAAGTTGTTAAAACTTGCTTTTCTGGGTTTTCGAGTACAGGAGTTCCCTCCCACCTTCTAACCACAGTTTCACATTCCACAGTTTCAGTTACCCACAGTTAACTGTGGTTCAAAAATATCAAGTGGAAAAATACAGAAATAAACACTTTGGTGCATTTTAAATTGTGCACTGCTCTCAGTAGCCCTGATGAAATCTCGTGAGACCCCGGAGGTTTCTCATTCTTCTGTCCATCTCCACAGGGTCCATGCTTCTCTTTGGTTACTTAGTTGCAGTCTCAATGAAGATATTGCAGTGCTGGTATTCAATAACCTTTATTTTACCTCATAAACGACCCAAAGTGCAAGAGTGATGATGCTGTTACAGAATTTACCAGGCGACTGAAAAATACATGGGTATTTGGAGATAAAGGGAAAAACCCATTTATTTTCAGATTTTTCCCATGTATTAGTAGTGACTCAGGGGAGACTTCCTCTCCAAATCCTGAGCAAACCAATATGGAGGAAGCTCTCCCTTTGTACCCTTTGGTTTCTCTGTCCCCCAAATATGGATGGGATTTCCAGACCTTTGGCAGGCTTTGCAAAAAGCCCCATGTGTTGGGATGGGGGCAGTGAGACCACACCTAAAGGCCTGGTGCCAGCACTGATAACCCCCTCCGGGATTGTGTATTGTTCCTGGTTTATGGTCTCTGTAAAATGGGAGTATTTAGGTAAACAGGTCTTGCAAGACAAGATAATTAAAGAAGGGGCAGTGACTAGACTACAGGCTAACAGGAATGTGCATTAACAATACAGAGTCAGGATGCTAGCACTCCCCTCTCTGCCCCCAAATGTCTTATTTTCCTCATCAGTGCTGGCAATTTGGATATGCCACAGAGGAGCTGTAAAGTGCTTGTTCTTATGTTAGGTCAGTAGTAACCTGATGTTATTGTCACAATGCCTAGGTCACTCACTTCATTGCATCACCTAGGAACTTCATCATCTCACATCATCACAAGAAGGTGAATATAGTACAACAAGATTATTTTGAGAGAGAGAGAGACCACATTCACATAACTTTTATTACAGTATATTGTTATAATCGTTCTTATTGTTGTTAATCTATTACTGTGCCCAATTTATAAATTAAATTTTATCATAGGTATGTTGTACGTATTAGAAAAAGCATAGTATAAAGAGGTTTTAATACTATCCATGGTTTCAGACGTGCATTAGGTGTCTTGGAATATTTCCCCTGTGCACAAGGGAGGCCACTGTATCTGGACCTCCTTTCCTGGGTGTGATGGGGAGTTGCCTTCTCCTGATCACCGGGTCACCTCCTGCTCCTGAGGGCTCCCAGACTGAGAGAGGACAGGCTGGGCTAAGAGGGACACCCCCCACCCCCCGTGCACAAATTTGCATAATAAAGAGGTAATATGCAAATTGACCCACACATCCTCACCTCACAAGATGGCCTCCCCATGTCATCACAAGATGGCCACCTCAAGATGGCTGCCCCTATGTCACAACAAGATGGCTATCCCACATTGTCACAAGATGGCCAGCAGGGGAGGGCAGTTGGGGGGACCAGGCCTATAAGGGAGGGCAGTTGGGGGTGATCGGGCTGGCAGAAGAGCTGTTAGGTATCAATCAGGCTATCAGGGGAATGGTTAGGGGGCTATCAGGTTGGCAGTCAGAGTGGTTAGGGGCAATCAAGCAGGCAGGCAGGCAGGCAGGCAGGCAAGTAGTTAGGAGCCAGCAGTCCCAAATTATGAGAGGGATGTCTGTCAGTTTAGGCCTGCAGGATTGTGCCTAAACTGGCAGTTGGATATCCTCTGGGGGGTCCCAGATTGGAGAGGGTGCAGGCTGGGCTGAGGGAAACCCCCTCCAGTGCATGAATTTCATGTACTGGGAATTTCATGTACTAATTTTAAAATTAAAACATATTAATATAAATGTTTTCTAAATATGGTTTTTGGAAATAAGCTTAAAATTAATGTGTATTCTTTAATTGGTGGATACAGTTTACATGTCTATTAGATTAAACTTGTATGTTACATGTCTATTAGATTAAGTTTGTGGGGTTTTTTTTTTGAAGTTCTGTCAGTTTTAAAAAATATATATATTTTATTGATTTTTTTTACAGAGAAGAAGAGAGAGGGATAGAGAATTAGAAACACCGATGAGAGGAGTCATCGATCAGCTGCCTCTTGCACACCCCCCACCGGGGATATGCCAGCAACCAAGATACATGCCCTTGGCCGGAATCGAACCTGGGACCCTTCAGTCCGCAGGCAGAC